AACTACAATTCATAAAGGTGCTTCTTTATTTTCTGTGCATAACATCAGATTTTGCGACTTATGTTTGGTCTGATTCTGCAATGTTGTTGTCATGAATTATCGAAGCAGAAAGATAAAAAACCCTTGTATGTGATCAATTTCAAGCCATTGAGTTATTGGTCAAACAAGAATGTTGGTTCCATATCGTATGATCTAATAATCCTGCTGATTTATCTTCGATAGGTTGTTTAGCAACACGATCAATGGAATTCAGACGGTGGGAGAGACCAGCATGGTTGTCCAGGAAGGAGAGTCATTGGCTGAACAACAATATAGAATCAATTAGGAGTTAGTTGGCGAGAGATGCGGAAGAATTCAATATCTTCCATTACCTATTCGAAACAATTTCGTTCTTGGATTCATAGTTACTTCTGGAAATTCCATATTTTGATTTGTATGAGATGGTTTAGAAGATTCATCCTCGATAGTTCTCATCCTAGGAAGAGAATGTGGAATGAATTTCCCGTTTCGGAGCAGAAAGATGCCGTGTTAACTTGTTTTGATGTAGCGGCAGTATTTGAAATTGCTGGTGTCGATTCATCCGATCGGCTTCAGATTAGGAACTGTACATGAGGAATTGATATATTTCATGAAAACATGCAGTTTTTTCTTCAAGGTCCTCGAAAACTAATTGCAAGAAGCGGTCAACCTTCAAAAGTCTATTCAAAAAATGAAGGTGATTTAATTTATTGAGAATGCCTCATTTCATCTCGTCTATTCTGCAGAAGATGAAGAGGTCTACATAATTCAGAAAATCATCTGGAAAATAATCGTTCCTACAGCTCCTTGATTAGGTGGATGATGTGAGCGATTGATTCGACTTTCGGAAGAATTGATGTTGGAAGTATGTGGCCGAGCCAGCCTTATGTATAAAGGGTAGGCATAGATTTTATGTGACTTTGAAACCGTATTTAACTCACGACCGTTCACATATATACCTGAAGACGGAACAGATATAGTCACTCCCACTCCGGCCATGTTTTTAGAGACTTTGAATGAATTTATGTTTCAGATCAAGATTAAGATCGCATAAATTATCATGATTTAAGGAGATATAGTAATAGTCTCGAACAGGGCCCATGAAGGCGTTTTCATACAAAACATATTGAACAAAGAATTTTGAAAAAGTCAGAGAAGCCGTGAATTGGAGATCTCCTGGTAGCAGATGATTGCACGGAAAGAACTGACTAGCCATCATTCGAAACTAAGGAAAGATAGCTGATCAGGAAGAGCTGAATTGAAAACCATTACTCGATATATCATCAGGCCCATACAACAATTGCATGCCTTAGAAATGTATCGAGGAAATGACAACTTATAACATTAGAGAGTGAAAATCAACTTTTCCACTAAAGAAGAACATTCAGCAGAAGATGAAGCTTACTATGAGATTGAAATCGAAGAAAAATAAATTAGGTGGGTCATTTCTTTTCTCGAAACACTGACTCAAGGTGGAAAAAATGTTATAATTGTGTTTATTTTTGAATATTCATGAAAATAAATTAATTCATCTGTATTTTGTTTGCGAAGAGAAAACACAATGTATAGTCAGCCAGTTTCAAAATATGTTTAATTTGACACTGAGTGGTAACAAACTATAAGAAAAACATTTTGGAAGAAACTTCTTCGCGTTTTAATGTTGAGAACGTGAGCAGATTTGTTTCCGAAACGTCCAATGATAGATAAAAAATCGATATTTTTCCAATATATCTATTTTTATTTCTTGTTTCCAAACAAAGTGTCACAGACAAGCTATTGGATTTTCGTTTCAGGCGCCCTGGTAGAAACATTCGTTGAACGCAGTGACATCTTGAAACAAATCATCTGATTTGTCTCACTCCACATATATTGATATAATACTCATATTTTCAGTTTATAGAAACGAGGAGAGGGAATCGAAAATAATCAAGTGAAATGTACGTTCGATTTGATCTCGATTTTCTGTAATATACTACCTTGATATTATCATGCCTTTTCGAAATGCTTTCACTATCTGTTTTCAACTCTGTCGTTGATCTTCCATCCATCTAAGAGTAGTTTGTAAAAGATTCCATTCTTCTCTGAATCTTCGGAAAAGGAGCCCTGTGACGGTTAATTCTTTCCCGACGAAATATTGTACAGCGCATTGAGTACATCTATTGGAGAACAAATTGCAGAAAATCCAATTTTTTTTTCTCTTGAAGGGCACCAAAGGAAATTCCTATTATATTTTTAGAGTAAGTGGAAGATAGGAGGAGGAGGTCGGTGTTGAAATTCAATTCGAACCTTTGGAGATAATAAGTTCGACATTTATCAAGGTTACCGATGAAGGGATGTTGGGACTGAGTCTGTGGAGTTCCTTTGACTAGTTTTGCTAGTGATGAAATTATAGCAGAGATTTCTCTATTTTGACAAAGTAAAGATTATTTTTCGAATCTTTCGAAAAGGTATCCTGTGAGGTGCCTTGCCATACATAATATCGTGAGATGAACAAAATATGTGGTTGGGTTAGGTTGAAAGTGAAAGGGTCTATTTAGTCCTCCACTGCGACATGTAAAGGTCCATTGTGGCTCACACCTTCCTAATGAAACCGATTAGTTCACTTGATGAGTGATCTTCCAGGTCTGAGGGCAAGAGTGAAATCCTGCCAAATAGCAAAAATCTGATCCGAGCCGTGGCGGGGCAGGTCCAAAGTATATGCTCTGCTGTTTCATCATCCTCAAGAGAGAAAAGGTACGTTGGATTATCCGACAACCCCTATCTTGAAATTAAATCATTCAGGCGACAGTGTGCTGTAAAGAGGCTTGATAAAGAGGACCCTCCTGTATTCTAATATTCATTTGGTAACATTTTTCGAAGGACGTATGAATGACTCAGGATGATCTCATCCTTGTAAATCCTGCCAGGCGCCTGAAACTCATCTAGCGGTCCAGGTTTTCAGTACATGTTTGGCAAAACTTGATGAGATGTCAATGCAGGTTCTGGTCTGATGAAACAACTTGCGGCACCCTCCCTTACAGGAGAATCTGCCGTTTTATTCCAGAGTGGCCAGGAATCTAGACCGATTCACTTTATTGAGTCTTTCGATCGCGGAGACTCTTTTTTGGCACTTCGTTACCAGTCTGTATGTTGATTGGTTTGAACTAGGTACTTCCACAGCCGCTTGGCTATCCAAGAATATTTCAATTGTTTCATGTGTGAGGCTGGTTTCCTCCACGCACACATCAATGGCGTGAATTTCCGCCTGAGGTACGGTTGCATGGGACTCAAGACGAGTTGATATCTCTGTCCTAGTTCAGCAGTCATATACACTCACACCAGAACCTGCAAGTGTTTTTGAATCACATGTACCTCAACAGTTATCTGATCTCAGTAGTTCCTCTTTCCGAAGAAACCAGTCATCCCTATCCGGGATCAGGTCGGTATGAGGTAGGTCATAGGTAACTGTTAGAAGCATTATGTCAGAGGTAATTTCTAGAATGGTGTGACTCTTAGATGCCGCCAGTAGTCTGATTCGCTCAATGTTAACCTGATTTGTGTAAGATGCAATATGCGGAATATCGTATGTTCTTATCTAGCCTTCATCTCCAGGAAAGTGTGGAGAGGAGGTGGGTCTAGCATAGCTGCTGACGGTGACGTGCTGATGGCCCTAGTGATCGCCAGACAACTTTGTAGCTGTTAGACTTTTGTCAACCAAACAATCGCCTCATATGTGATCTCCGCCCTGAAAATCATCACATATATCCAGCGGATTTGTTTGGGACCTGAGCCCCACGATTCCCCGCAAATCCTTCGACATGTCCAGAAAGATAGTCTAGCTTTGTGGAGAACCTTTTCCAAGTAATGGTTTCACATGAAGTTTCAATCAAGGACTACATCTAAATATTCTACTCGGGAGATTCAAAGGGCTAAAATGTTCCAATGACCCATTCAACTGCCGGTGGTGTGATAACTTCCGTGGCGGCCTCCCAATCGTTCTTAGGATGTTCGGCGCCCTCAAGGGAAGTAGGTAGGAGGTTCATTGTTTTCGATAGTCAGACTCCCTGGAAAATGTTTCGTTATTAGAAGCTATAACTTCTATTGTGCTAGAGGTCGTAAATTTGCCTATAGGTCGTTTTATCGAGCAGTCAGCTTTCTAAAAAGAACCTTGTATTTATTGTTCTTCAGATATACTCTCTCAATACTTCCTCCAAGATTCCAGTTGTGCTTTTTTGATTTCTCAATTATACATTGTTCTTTATTAGAGTAGTTCTATGAAGCTACCAGTTTTCTGACTCTTCAGCTCGATTGAATTATCGTTGAACTTCCTCTCCTAATTTCTCATAGCCTTCAATTCCTCAAAAACAGTTCCGATTGTCTCTTCTGGTTCAGTGTGGACAGTTTTAGTAATGAAGACAGATCATTGCTCTGCGAACTCGTTCCTTTACAGTAACAATCCAATCATAACTGTATATTGCAGTAAATTCGTCCCCAAAGTTCGATTTGAGGAAATTGTTGTAATCGTTCCAGTCAGTTGCTTTCGGATCACGATAGTGGAGTCTTGGACCTGTTTCAATGTCGAATAGTTTGTGTCAAGATATGAAGTATCCTTGGAAATAGGAACATCCTTGAAAAAGTGATTTTCAATGAACGTGAATTCCAAAAAAGTTGATGAAGGTCCTGTGAGGTGAATTCTCGCCCGACAAAAAGATTTCGGGAAATCTCCAGACTTCTGAGTATTTCCAATGGGGTATATTCTTGGATTTAGTCCACATAAGAAGTATATTTTCGAATAAATGAATTTTTCTTCAATATCTTGAGAAAGGAGTCCTGTGAGGTTGATTCTTGTCTGCCAAAGTATTGTTATATATACGTATTATTGAGCAGCCTCAGGAAAAAAAAATCATACAAAACTTCCATTCACGTCCATGGAATGGAATTTGGAGTATGTCATAAGATCAAATATAGGAAATGCATATCGATTGAAGTTTTTGTTGTTTCAGTGAAATAGAAGTCACTGAGGAGTGTAAAGAACTGGCACAGAAATACAATTTGGAATTGGTGACTTGTGGTTTCAAATGCAGAGAGGAGCAGCTCAGATGTCCGAGAGTTGTGAGAGTTGGATTGTTCCAGCACAAACTTCTGCCATTCCCGACCACGACTCCGATTCAAGAAATCAAATATGCTCTCTTCAAATTCGCTAATAAAGCTATTAGAATTGCTGGAAGGGGAGGAGTCAATATTTTTTGCTTCGCAGAAACTTGGAGTAAGTATTATTTTTCATAAATGAATTCACATCCCATTTTCTATTGCATTGAAAGAATATGACTACAATGAAATCTTGAGTTTGGCAACAATGTTCGTGATTCTCATGGCGAGTTCAGTTTGGAATTGTGTAAATACTGAATGACTTGTACTTGCAGTCGTGAAGTAAAATTGGTCGAATCATTGAGTAGTTATACAAAATGAATACGGTCTTCATTTTGGTTTATCATTCTTTATATGAGAGAACGAATCCAAAATAGAGAATCCAAACATTCAATCTATAGAAAAACAATGGAATACGAAAAATCTAGCAGAATGTACCACCTCCTCGATTAACCTACAGATATTATATATCGACGACTGAAACCTTTGGCACGATAATACACTACACACTGTTTAAGTACTCACCAAACCGATTATTTCACGCCTCGATTCGTGTTTCGCTAACTACGTTAGCATCTTCAGGGGAAGATCAAACCTGAATATTTTATCCTAGTGTGCTCCATATATACTAGGTGTATGTCCACCCAACCGTGAAAGACAGTAACTGCGGAGTGAATGTTAGTCATAATTGAGTTTACATGTTTACCTTGGTCTTATATCACTAAACTATACAAAGGGCTGATGAGGTCCAATATCCTTATTAATTATTCTTTCACCTTTCTTATATATCTATAAACTATATGCACCTGATTTCCAAACATTATCAACTAGCTCAACTAATTTGAGGTTATTAATATGTTTTTTATGATTCTGATTGAACATGTGTTCGGGTACATACGATTCATCTTACCCACCATATTTCAAATGTGCTGAGTATCCTTTGAACCTTGTTTGTATGGAACGCTTGGTTTGGCCTATATATGTTTTATCACAATCATCACAACTAATTCCGTATATTCCTGACTTCTCATGTGTATCCTAATTCGTAGTAGAGGAGAGGCTCGATATTTGGTAGTCTTGTATAATTCATTTACTGAGCATGTTGCCTTGTATTCTTCGAAATAAAGTCAATTCAAAATCGAATGCTTAGGGAATACTTTCCTGAATATGGTCTGGTGCAGAGGATCCTGCATGATCATGGCACGCAATTTACCTCCAAGCTCTGGAAACGAGTAATGCAGGAACTAGGGGTGAAACTTGTATATAGTTATGTTCGACATCCATGTGGTAATCCCTTGGAACTTGGAAGGTTGTTTAGGACATACTGCAGTGAGCAACATTTCAGGTGGGCGTTGGAGGTTTCCCGTTTTGATGAGTACTTGACCTCAATAGTACATAAATCCACAGGGTTCACTCCAAATGAACTGCAGCTGGGAGTGGAACCATTCAAGCTTCTGCTTTCTGAGCTGCTACCACTTAATGATTCGAGTAATCCAGATTGGCCACAACATCTCAAGTTAGTCTTGGCTGAAGCCTAACTACAGGAAAAGGCTGCTCGTCGTGCGATCAGGAATCCAGATTTTCCTTTTCCTCATTTTGCTCCAGGGGATTTGGTTTCACTTAGAGCAAATATTATTCCATCCACTATAAAGGAAGAGACCAAGAATTCTCTTTTGATTTTTGTGGGGCCATTTAGAATCAAAAAGAGAGTCCAAGAGGCAACTTACGTTCTTCAGAATATGGATAGTAAGCAAGATTGAGGTGTATTTCATGCTTCTCATATCAAGCCTTATAGAATTCCTTAGAGTTCTAGGTTTCCCTATCACTCAAGTTCTGGGGGCGCGATGAGCTGAAACCAATTTCAGGTGGATAGCACCACTTCTACCACATTTAATTTGGACATAAGTTCATAAAATATAAATATAATAGTGATTAAAATATATTAAAAATATCAATGTCCTCTCCCTTTATTCGATTAACCCGCCAAAAATGATGGCAGCGAAATGTCGAAGGTCACCTGTCACCCCGATTCATCATCTTCGTGTTATTTTCACTATTCCAGGCGCACCAGGGTTGTGTCACCTGCATAGAAATAATCATATAGAGATCAGTTACCCCAGATAGCACGGGACGTCCCGAGGACGTCCATATCAGGTCCATTTTTAGTCTGGACGTCCTAGACCTTTCATGGACGTTTTGAGAACGTCTATATTTGGACATACTCGGGACGTCCAGAATAAAAGTCTTCAAAACGTCAAATTTACAGACTCTGAATATGGATATAAATGATGTTTGAAAAATATATTGTATATCAGCTAGGTATACCAATATAATGAATTTCATTTCATTATTAATATTATGAATTTGAAATATTGAGAATTTACATACCTATACAGTTTGGCCATTCCTGAACCCACACTGAAATAATCATACAAGCCGCGGTTTTATAATCAGATTTGATTGATTCACTGAACATTGTCGATCTAAATGAAAACCAAGTAGGCAACCTAGTGCGAGGAGGTATAATAAGCTCCTGCCTACTAACTACCTAACTAGGTTGTCAGGTTGTATAATGCACTGAATATGTAAAGCAACCATAAAGCGCATGCCTGTTCAGCGTTGCCAGACCTACTATCTGCATTCGATTGTGTTCAATAAGTACACGTGTTAATGTCGCTCTGTATTTAAGTTGCAATCTAGAGGGAGATATTGTGCTATTTTTCTCGAACTTTTTCGTACATATCAATGATTTCTTCATCTTTGACTCAATAAAATCTTGATACAGTGCAGTGTGTGGTTGGTGACCTAATTGGTTAATTAGTTTCCGAAAACGTACATCGTTTATATCAAAATCGTTGACAATAAAGTTGCAATAAAAACGGATCTAGTGAAAAAAACTTATCTTATACAGAACAACTCAAGGGTATTGAAAAATATATTCCACTTCATTGATCTGAAATAGTACCAGTGCCGTAGTATAACTGTTTTCTGCCAATTAATACACTGTTAATAATTATGACTGATTCAAAACTTGACAGATTTATATGCCAAATTGTTGAAAGCAAATCAGAAGCAAACAGAGGAAATCAAAAAAGAAGTCAATATCATCTCGGGCAATCTCGTGGAATTGAAGCTCTGGAAGAAAAAAATAAAATACTTCGAAATAAATATTTGAATGCTGACAGAAAACTCAGGAGAAATAATATAGTTATATTTGGTCTTGATATCAAAGAGAGAAGTAATATTCTGGAAGAAACGACTCAGTGCCTGAACTTCACCCCTGGACTGACGATTGAAAAAAGTGACATCAGTCACTGTTACATGCTTGGAAAATCAACAAAATCACCTATAATCTTGGAATTTGTGTCGTTCTTCAAAAAGCAAGCACTTTTTGGCAATAAGGATATTCTGAAGGAGTTGAAGTTGAATGGAATTTCAATTGCCAATGACCTTTGCCCAGAAGATCGTAAGGACCAGAAATACCTGGTGAAACACTTGAAAAAAGCAAAGGAGCAGAATTTAGATGCAAAAATCAGAGGTAATAAGCTTATTGTCTCTGATGAGGCTTACACTGTTTCTGATCTCCTAGAGAAAGATAAAGTGGAGCTCAACAGTGAAATTCAATACCTGGAGAATATTGAGATTGAAACTGAGGACAAAGAAAAGGTACCAGAAGAATCAGCTGAGGAAGACAGAAAAGATTTCAGTGCAGCAGAATCAAGTGGTGAGCATAAAAAACAGGAAGAAAAAGAAGACAACTCAAAGGCCCTCCTCATCCTAATGAAACCAAATCCATTTGTATGAAAGGATATAAATAATTTATATTACAGCTATCACGTATTCTTTGTATTATCTTGTCAATAACTAATCATATATTACTTTGTCACCTGGTTTTTCACCTTTCAAAATGAGGACTGAAGATATATCCATAGCTTTCATGAATGTGAGGTCCCTTGTGTGCCATCTCCGCGATGTCAAGGAGGTGGTGTTGAGAAGAGATTTTGATATAATTGGTATTTCAGAAACATGGCTCACCCGAATAATATCAAATTTCGATGTTAAAATTGATGGGTACAATTTAGTGAGAAGTGATAGGAATACAAGAGGTGGAGGTGTAGTTATTTATATCAGATCCACTCTATAGTACGAAGTTTTAGCCATACAATAGACGGATGACTTGGAACAAGTGTGGGTGAGTTTGAGCATAAATAAAAATAAATATTTGTTTGGATCACTGTATCGCTCGCCTGATAGAAAACTCTCAGCTTTTTTGGGTTCATTCGAGGATACGGTATCTATTGCAGCAGCACTTGATTCTAAAATTATTTGTGGTGGGGATATAAATCTAAACATGTTAGATATAACTAATGAGAAATCTTCTCTTTTTTTGGATTTGATGGAAACTTACAGCCTGAAGCAAACTGTTACAAAACCTACTAGAATAAATAGATTATTAGATGTTATAATAATATCTGATGAGTTAGAAAAAAAATTAGTAGATAATATTGATATTTCACATTTTTCCGATCATTATCTTGTCTTATGTAAATTAGCACGGTTGAGAACAGAGATAATAGAACAAACAATCAAATTTCGAAATCTGAAAGGAATTGATTGAAATGCTGCATTTCTTCTTGAACTGTTCAGTCTAACTCCCTTTGATAACATCTTCTTATTTAACGACATCAATGAAAAAGTTTCACACTTCAATCAACTGTTACATACCTTATTCGATATAGTTGCTCCTTTGAAAACTTTGAATTTGAGGAAGCGTAAACCACCTTGACTTACAGATAACGTAAAACTGATGATATGAACTATTATCGCACTCTTCGTAATCAAACCAATATCATGATAAGAAAAAAAAAGGTTATTTGACTTATTGCATCAATAATAACAGTGGTAAAGATTTATGGCAAAACTGAAGAATTTGAATATATATAAAAAAAATATGGCTGTCTTACCTGATACATTGAATGATCCGGAAAAAGTGAATGAACAATTTTGAAAGCATACTGGTATAAGTACTATGCCTGAACCAGAACTTATCCATTTCTATGAAGATAATATTCTGAAAAACTTTGATGATCCTTTTAATTTCAAAACAATCACTGAAAA